AGTCTGGCATCATCTTTTCTTGGTCACTGCGTCGAACGTAAATTCTTCGTTTTGGACCGAATAGCTCAAACTTGGATTCATCGGTCCAAAGAACTTTTTAAAAATCTTCTTCAGTCCAATCTCGAAGGGCAAGGGCCCATTACATCCGTTTTTTCTTGTTTTGTGGCCTTAACAGAGGTTTTCGAACGGCAATACGACCATACAATTTCTCATCTCTCAGTCGCCGTTTTACTGTAGTCAATGATAAAGATTTAACTCGGGTTTTGTTTACTTCAACACAGATTTCCGGTGTTGTTAAGCGTCTATTTCGCTTGATGGTAACACCAATGAAATGATCTTCACTTGACGTGGTAGCTCTCGGCCTTCCCGAGCATGAACGATGAAAAGTGCCCGTCTCCCAGTATCGAGTTATTGTGCCATGAACAGAAGTCTTCGATAACTTCAATTGTAAAGCAATCTCACGTTCGGATTTGCCTTCATTATGTTAAGTAACGATGGCAGAACGCACTTCACTGCTAATTTCGCGTGCTTTTCCCATTTTAAGACGTCTTCACTGTAGAAACCACAGGTTTAGACTAATTGAGATTGTTTGTGAACAAAACCATGTAAACTCAGGTAATAATAAGTCGGAAACACGTGTTTTTAGAAGCTAAATAATCCTACTTATTGACCAATGGGAAACAAAAGCAAAGCAATCAGTTATTAGCCCATGATAAAGATATTATTACGACTCTACCAGCTGGCTCTAACGCAGCGTTAGTCGGTGTTTGAAAACAATACATGTTTATTGTCCAATAATTTGAAGGTAAATAAAATAATGACTTCTTTAGATATTCGATATTAACAGTAGAATATACAGGTGTACAGGTGTATGCAGGTGTTCTTTTATTTATCTTATGGGATTTCGTTACAATTTATAGATAATTATGTTGTTTAAGTGTAGTCTTAAACTTTTGGCCGGCAGTGTATATACTACATTACAGCGTGAGCTAACGAATTACGTAGAGGCGTATCCTTTAATTTCCGAAAAATCTGAGGAAGTAGCGGGAACATTTCTTAAAATTTTATTCTCACAGAGAGAAATAGCGACATACAGAGAGAAAGAATTTCTTTCGGAAATATTTCAGGAGGTTTGTAAATTACTAAAATTAGACAACTTAATTCGAAACAATATCATCATCAGTCAAGATGGTAGAGGTGAAACACAAACATTTGAATGCATTTTTGCGTATACAAACCGATAGCCACTCTGAGTTATGGGGTAAGTGGATTCCTTTTTGATCTTTTGCATTCAACACGACAGTACACTCATAAACAGGATTTACACCGTATGAATTGGTGTTTGGTAACAAATGTTCTCTACCCAATAATTTGTCAAAACAATTAGATCCGTTATTCAATTTTGAAAGTTATCCTTGTGCACTAAAATACCGTTTGCAACTTTTTCAAAAACAGGGACGAGATAGTCTGTTAAAAAGTAAGTAAGTAGAAAAATAAGACACGATAAAAATATTAATCCTATAAGCTATAAGGAAAATCATTTAATCCTTGTTAAAAATGAAACACCTAGTAATAAGTTAGACAATACTCAGGTCCTTATAAAGTTTTAAAAGACTTACCACCAAACGTAGACATAATAAATATGGAAAAAAGGATGTAATTCGTAAAAATCGTACAAAACCTACAAGCGTACAAACGTACAAGCGGAATGAATCGTTATAATTTTCTTATGTAATTAAAGGGTATAGCTTTTTTATAATAAAAAGTACATAGTATAGCTTTTTTTATAATAAAAAAAGCTATAACTATAGCTTCATTTACCTAACACCAAACCGTACAGACACATTATCTTTTTTATTTAGAGGCTTAACTATGGCTGTTTTCCAGGCGTCGGGAAAAGTAGATGTGAGAAATGACGCGTTTTTAATAGCTGTAATAACTTTGAATGTACGTGGAATCGTCAGTAGCAGCATTTCAAGAGAAATTTCATCACCGCCCAGCGCATTTGATTTTAGTGAACGTATGACTTCTGAAACTGTGGTTTCATAGGTGGGCTTTAACTTAAAAGACTTGTTTACAAAACGGTGAAATTCGTAATAAGTAAGATTCGACATTGGTGTTACACTTTTTCTGGGTACCGTACAAAGATGAGTTCAGTCTGTCTGGGCTTTGTAAGTGCTAAGGGCTGTGTGTCTATGTGTGCTTGGTGGAAAGAGCCAGTTGTGCGGTCTGTCATATGAGGTGGCGACTGGTCGAAGGGACGCTGTCACTATTTGAGTTAGGTGTCGTTATATAAGATGGCGGGTAGAGAGCTAGTTGTCTTTTTTTTTGCGCCCAGACACAATTGAAAAGGACTACCCCAGGAAACGAGAGGGAGGCGGTGACTGTTCTAAGCATACCACGACAGCCGGCTGTCGTGGTTATGTGGGACTCACTGCGACTAACCTAACCTAACCTAAGTGCCTACCCACTAAACACCACCTGTGAGACTGGCATTGGCTTATGAGGCCTTTCTGCCAAATCGGAAGCGACCCTCTTTTGGGAAAAGGGGGCGCAGGCGGCAACGAGCCGCTGAGGGGGAGCCTAACTAAGGCAAATTAAGAAGAGTCTGCCTGAGCCGCCAGGAGGCAGTTCAGGTCGGTCGAAAGCTTGTTTGGCGGGTCCGAGAGAGAGTTTCTCGGCCTGTGGATCGATAGCGAGAGGGGAGTGGGGCTGCATAAGTAGTTGCCTCACGAATGAAATGATTGGAGTGAGGCTTTCAAGAAGTTCTCAGAGAGTGTTTTTAGAAATTGTTGGATTGTGGGGAGCTCTAAGTTTCGATGTAGGTCGGCGTTACGGACGTACCAGCGTGCGTTCGTAGCTCGACGACAGTAAATGTTTTGAACTATTTAGAGGTCGTTAATGATTTAGGGATTAGCGTGGGCAAATATGAGGCCCGCGTAAGTCATGACTGGTCGTATACAGAGCTTATAAAGGGTTCGCTTGTTTCGGAGGGACATTTTACTGTGAACTAGTTGTCCAATCCACGTTGTCATATGAGATGATGACTGGTCGATGGGATGCTGTCACTGTGAGTTAGGTGTCGTCATATGAGATGACTGGTAGAGAGCGAGTTGTTCAGTCCACGTTCTCATATTAGATGATGACTGGTCGAAGGGACGCTGTCACTGAGTTAGCTAGCCGACGGCTAGGTTGTTCGGATTATGGCTGGTCGAAAGGACGCCGTAGCCTGTGTTAGTTTGCATGACGTCAAACGTAATCGGCTTGCCTATGTGTGTGTGTCCCTAAATATATTCTAAGATAGGGCAGTATACGTATTCATGTCAGGATAGACGAGCAGAATAAGTGGTGATTAATAGTGTTTGTTGCAGGAATTCGTGAAGATACACGCCCGAAGGCAGTCGTATGTCAGTGTTGTCCGTGTCGGTGTGTATAAAATACCGGATGGATCGAGAGTGAGCGAGGGGTTGCGTTACTAAAATAATGGAGCGTCATATCGTGGGTGGCGGCGTAGAATCGAGGGTAGATCTGGAAATCCCCACTCGTTTGTGCAGTTAAAAGTTCAGTGAAGGTGCGGAGTCTGAGAGATTCCGCTGAAGGCAATCTACGAGTGCTAAGATAGTGTTGTGGTTTTGTCCATGGTGGTGGTTCTCCTGGTGCAAGATGGTGCAGCTGAGAGGCTACCCTGTATTACGTTGGGATGGGTGCTTTGGTGTTATCATTGTGGCCGGTGGAAGGAAAAGGGGAGATCTCCCGCCGGGCAAGGTATTCTGCCCGGGGAGCGGCCAACGCTCCGAGTGGTAATTCGGAGCTATTCTATATATACTGCTTTAACTTCGGAACTTTGTTGATGCGATTTAGGCTTCGATGTGTTTCGCTTGTGGCGCGACGACAGCGCCGCCACATCATGTAAATGTCTTTCATGTTACACAGGAGTGCTAAGATAGTGTGGTGATTCTGACCATAGTGGTGGTTCTCCTGTTGCAGGATAGTGTTGCTGAAAGACTGCCCCGTGTTACGTTGAGATGGGTGGTGTTGCTGTTGGTTTGCATACATTGGTGTTACCATGTAATTAGTCCCTCATGTTACTGTGCACTGGTGTGTGATTTTGTCGACACGTGTTACGGTGTTTGTGACGTGAACTGTAATTACTCTATACTGAATGTATAGTGCTTCGCAATTGGACCCGGTAGGTGGCGCTGTTGTCGAAATCCATAAATCACCCGAGCGTAGCCGGGGCGGACCTCTAGCATCTGATATAATTAATTGGTGTTAGAATAAGTCTCAAAATAATTCAAATAAAAGGAATATTTTTCTATAACGGCTTTACGTTGTAAAACTTTATGGAACGCAGTAAGCAGTTAGTAGGAAATGCAATACTTAAATAGATGAAGTATGCAAACCCAGTAGGACAGTCCCTTCGCAATCCAACCTTAACTCCTATATATGAATTACCACGATATACAGAAATACGACATGAATTATAACTCTAAGAATGACTGTTCATGTTGGTTGCCTGAGCCGTGCTTTATACTACTCCACGAGTAGGGGCAGGGTGGGGGCTTAAAGTCTACTCCCACCTTTTGATAGAACAAAACAATTGTTATTTTAACTTTATCCCTAATACTTGCAAGTACAACACACCTTTTTTTTAATACTTACCTGTGCTCGCTGTAACACTCCTGCAATAACATCAGGATCGGGAATGGGATAGATATAATCACATCCGAAAATCAACAATTAGTATTTTATAATGAAAAATGACCTTCGATAAGTTATTATTATTAACTAGCCTGAAATGTCCCGCTGCAGGGCAAAGGCCTCCTTACTCTCTCTCTACTCTCTACTTCGATAGGTATTATGTAATAATTTATTTTGAATAAAAATTATTCTATGCTATTGCTCGCCAGGAATGGCGTGTGTGCTAGAATCCAACAGAACGGCGCAGCGTTCTCTGGCCACGAGAGTTCTGTGTAACCGAATGCATTGCTATGTTTTAGGCATGGAGATGGTGCCAGCAATCGCCAACAAGACCCAATATACCAGTACAAGACAAGTAGTCTGCCTGCCGCTTCATCCATCAATCAATCTTGGGACGAAATAGTGTGCTCTGCACTACGAGTGGCTCCGGAAGATATAGCTAACCAGCTGTCATTACTTGACTTGCCCTGCTTCAAGGCGATCCAGCCAGAGGAGCTCACCACTTGCGGTTGGAATAAGTCGAACAAATTAACAGTTGCTCCCAACGTGGTGGCGTTTACTAAACGCTTTAATAGGGTTAGTTTTATTATCTATCTTCTATATACCTAGTCAGGTCATAAATTCTGTCACATGTTTAATATAAAATAATTGAAACAAGTTTATTCATTATGTAACCATTTATATACCAAAATGAACTTCACAAAACATAGATTCTTATGACACTAAAGTTTATTCAAAATGACCTCCGTGATGTTGAATACAGGCCTTCAATCTGCGCGACCAGTCGTCTATCGCAGCACGAACGAGGTCCATGTCAATATCGGCGGCTGCCTTAATCAAGGATGTCTTAAGTGACTCCAAATTGGGATGAGACTTTGAGCACGCCTTTTCCTCCAAGTGTTGCCATATCTTGTAATCTAACGGATTCAAATCTGGACTGGAGGAGGGCCAGTCTTCGTGCCGGATGAAGTCGATTTCACGCGCCGCCAGCCAGTCTTGTGTGCTCTTCGCTCTATGAGCTGGCGCCGAATCTTGTTGGAATACCCAGTGCCTGTTATTGAACATGGTATGAGAAACAGGTTCCACAAGGTTCGTCAGGACTGTATTTTGATACACAACTGCATTCGTTTTTACACCTTTCTCACAAAAATGTACCTCTGTTAAGCCCCAATAAGAAACTCCCAACCATACCATGAGCGAGGACGGAAAATGACCTCGTTGGACACGCGGAATACGGTTGCTCGCTTCTTCACTACTGTGTGCGTACACCTTATCATTTTGTTTGTTGTAGCTCTCTTCTACGGTAAAAATTTTTTCATCCGAAAAAAGAATTTCCCGATATTTTTTTCCCGCGTACCGCTTCAACAAAGCGCGGTATCTCTTCAGTCTCAGGTCCATTAGACGAGCATTCAAACGATGTCCTGTTTTTCTTCGATATGCCCGAAGCCCTAAGTCTTCATTTAACACCCTTTTCACCGTGGTTCTGCTTAACCCCATCTGAAGGCCAACAGTTTCTGCTTACGTTTGGGATTTCTTTGAATTCGCGCCTTCACAGCTTTTATCACTGCTGGAGTCCTAACAGACCGAGGGCGACCACTTCTTGACCTGTCATCTACACTAGAGTCTTCATTGTATCGTTTGATGGTACGATAAACGAATCTTTTGGTTATATTCAAATTTTTCAGTTTGTCAAAAATTTGAATTGGCGCGTAACCGCAACGATGCAACGCAATAACTGCAACACGGTCTTCTTTAAGCGTCCACTCCATATTTAAAAATGAGTAAAATTCTAAAAATTATACAGTTTTATTTTCATGAACAATTCGAAATTCGAATTCAATAAATTTTTTGTGGCCAGCATTCTAAAAGAAAAGTTTTTACTGTGTGATAATACTTATGACCTGACTAGGTATATATATAAAGTTTAACGGAAATAAAAATATAGCATGAATACATTGACTTACACAGCTCTGGCTCCAGAATTAATCACCATACATAAGTTTTTTTTAATTTTTATTATTCGCCTTTAGTATTTATTTACATAAATAAAAATCACAACCGCTTTTCACATAAAATTAGCACTATTGTCTTTTTTTTTCAACGTGGTCCTTGATATTGTGGTTAGTGTAGTGTGAGTATTTTATGCGAGGCGACACCCACGGCACGAAATGGGTTTCTGGATTCTTATAAGGAGCCACCAAATGGAATTTTTTAATATTTTAAATTTAGTTTCTTACGTGGTAGAGCCGTTCAAAAAGATTGCCATTGCGAAAACTATGATTTAAATTATAATTTTCGCACGAATTAAAAGGTAAGGACCACACTCTCACAAAATACCGGCGTAAAATGCAGTCGGAAAAATTCTATCTTTGACATCAGGGGTGACAATGCATCTGCATTTTGATCTTTATTGAGGATACATTCAGAAGTCTATGGGCCACAACACCCATTTACGATCAGGTGGACTGTGTTCTCATTTGTCACCCTTGTTCTATAAAAAAACTTGACTTGAAAAATTATTCCTTGTACCAAAATGTTCATTTGAATGCTTATTTTAATTTTATTTAAGTTTATTTTTTTCATGTTGTTGCGGATTTTATTTATGAAAAGTATCTACATTTTTAGAAATATATTGTGAGTTTGTATGCCTTGAATATTAACCATGTACGAAAATTGCATTACGTAGGTGAGCTTCTGGACAGTACAAGAGATACTGAACGGCCAGTCGCCCAAAGCCAGAGCGGAAACCCTGGCTCACTTCATAAAGGTGGCCAAGAAATTGCACGAGCTCAACAACCTACACTCGCTCTTTGCGATTATCTCTGCGCTCCAAAGCGCTAGCATATACAGGTGACTGCGAGTTATTTTATTATTGCACGTGTTACATTATTATAGACTCTAGGATGGATAGGTAATTTAATAACTTGTTTGTAAGGTAGTTGATATATTTTATTTATTGCATACCCACAAAACGAGATTTCAATTAAGTTTGTATCATGTTATATATTTCCGGTTCTTGGTTCACTAGCTTATCGAATAATTAAGGGCTGACTAATTACTTAAATAATCACTGTCATTTGCTGTATTTATAAGACAATTTAATAAGAATAAACAACTGACAATTAAGCAACAACAACTGACGCCGTAAGCTTGTCAGCTTCCGGCGAAGCTAACTTTAATGTGTATAAAAGTCTGCTGTTAGGAATATATCAGTTAGTTGTTTCATAACCGCCAGCAAGTGAATAAGTGAATCTGCCAGTCTGCTGTTAGGAGCCAAAAGGCTTCTTAAGCTGAGTAACCTATTTTCTACATACTTCAAAAGGGAGACGGTACTCAATTCGACTGTATGTTTTTTTTTTCCTTTTTTATTTTATGTGTGTTACCTCATATCTTTTTTTCTGGGTGAACCGATTTCAATAATTCTTTTTTTTTTAATTGAAAGCTAGTGCTTCTCATGTGGTCCCATATAAATTTGATCAGGGTTTGACCAATAGTTTTTGAATATTCTTAATAATTTATATTGAAGTCGGTAGTACAAAATTTTTAATTTTTAATTATATTGGACCAGAAAACTAAAGCTAAGCAACTTATGTATTTTGTTTCTATACTATATCTTTTAAATGTTAGTGCCATTTTGTGACCTGTGTATTTAGGAATTATGTGTTGTTGGTTTGTTCATACCAATTGTATAAGACAACATGTTGTAAATATATTTTATTTAAAACAAATGTCCCGCTGGGTTTCTTGCTGGTTCTTCCCAGGACGGAGGTTTTCTTCGAACCTTCGGTAAAACTCCTATATTGAATAAAATTCCATTCTATTTTATTCTAAAGACTGTTCATGTAACCTTACATTTAATATAAGACAGTAAATTATAAATTATATATTTTAAAGCTTTTTTTACTAAATCTTTATAAATCTAACACATGCCTCATAACGCGAAGCGTTATAGGTGTGACACGTCAAGGTCAAGCTATTTTGTGTTTTTAAAATACCTCTATCTTAACCATATTGCACTTATACGACAACATGAGTAGCCGTATTTCAAGAAAACACTAATAATCAAGAAAAAGTTTTTACGTGGACGTCCGGATTTTGATTTTGTATGTGTTCACGAGGGCTCCCCAAAAATACGCTGTCATATTTTTTTAGCATTTGATAGACAATAATGTACCATACAGACTATATCGACTTTATACTTTGTGTAATCGTTTTATTTTGATAAACATTATTAATTTTTTTCCTATAGGTGACACTACCTGTTAAAGTAATAGAGCGCAATTTTTTTCTGAGGCGTGCACTTTTGGATTTTTCAAACTATTTATATTTTATTCTTCGCTTGGAAAATTTACACCAAATTAAAAAAAAAGTATAATTAAAAATGTAGGCCATTTATTTCACGTAAGAATACTTAATATAACAAGAAACAATATGTCAAAAGTGATATACTTTCTTGTTGCATTAAGGGATATAGAGCAAATAACAGTACACTTAAATAAAGGGAACATTTTCAAAAAGAAAGCAGCAAAAGCAGTTATTAGAAAGTGAAACCTTTAGTTGGGAGAGCGCTGAAATGAAAATACCAAATGGGTGTGTAAAATAGCGCAATATAGAATTTTATAGTAAATAAAATCGAACGTTTTGTTACTTTTGTAACAATATCTTCAAACAGCAGGTTTGAGTCAAAAGTAACACCGAGATCTCTGATAGTGCTGGTTCTATATAGGGAAGTATGGTGTAAATTACAATTATACATTATGGGATTAGGTTTAGGAGTAAACGAGCAGATAAAACTTATTTTAGATTTTTAAAATTTTTTTTAGAACAGTACCTTTCTAAATTCTACATATCCTTTTGAAGATTGGAACAATTTTTTTCAAGATTTTCATATAGTCGGTGTAAAGAATAATCTTGGAACTTTTAAAACACAAGTCGATGTCAGTGATAAAAATTAAGAAGAGCAAGGGACCCAATATGGATCCTCGCAGAACGCCTGACTCTAGATAGTCGGAACAAATAGTGAATAAACAGAACTAAATTTGACATAAAAATTCGTAAATAAATGGCGTGAGAGTCAAAGCAGGAAATGAACCTTTACTCATCCCGCCGGTGCTTCACAGCCGCGTCGCCGCCTGCGATAGCGCGGCGGATATTTTAGAACTGATAGCTTACGTTGTTTGTCGATATCATTGCGTTCCCCGAGGTAGGTTACTGACCAATCGTTGAAACTTTGGCTTTTAACAAAGTATTCACGATCACTTAAATGACAAACAGCTTCCTTTGTATGCTTTCCTTTATTTGTAGTGTAAACTTCTTTAGAATCGTTGTGATTAGTAACTCGATCACACTAACAATTACTCTAAGAGACAAATATATACATTTATAGGATTTAGCCTGCGAAAGAATGAGATAGAATACTGTATACAGTGTTTCCTATTATTGCGGTCTCCTTTTCTGGTTTACTACTAGCGTCTGTGAACTGCACATATGTTTTTTTTAAATGCGTTATCCCCACACATATAAATTAGTTTACACATATAAATTTCACAAGGACCAAAAATCCAGACCCGGAACAATTGTTTGTAGGCCATACAAATACTAGTTCCGTGGCGGATTCGAACCCGCGGCGGTTGAACAGTGGACATTTAAAGGGCTGATGATGATGATATAAATTATCAGGACTTTACCAAAAAACATGGGTTATTCTAAGTTAATCCAGTTAAACCTAGGTTATAAACTATTATTAATATACTTAGGTGGTGTTAGTTCAATATTTTGCCGCAATAAATCGACTTATTTAGTTCAACTTAAGACAAAAAAGTTTCACTAAATCAACGGTTGAACTAATCAGTTGGACCCTGTTGAAGTCCCTGAATAGTCATATTATGGCATGTGTTTGCGGCCACTTGGCCACTTTGGTGTAGAGACGATATCAACAGAATGTGTTGTCTTGTCGTAGCGTCACGATCAGCTTATATATATACGATTCATTGTAATTGCTATAAACTATACGATTCATTGTATTTGGTTGCGGTTATTTTTAAATTTTATTTAAATATTAATATAAACATAAAATATATTCAATAGAAATAAAAACTTTTTTATTCAATATCTTCCATTATCTAATATATAAAAGTCTCGTTTCGCAGTGTTTGTTACCAAAGCCCTCTGAAACGGCTGAACCGATTTGTATGAAATTTTGTGTGCATATCGGGTCTGATAATGGGCCAACGTCTATTTTTCAAACCCCTAAATGATAAGGGTGACCACCCTCTAAATATATTTTTTTATATTTTTGGCAAATTTTTTTATTTTTATTTTATTATGATTTAGCATTAAAAAGTACATAAAGTAGACAAACATGACCTGACCAAAATATGAAACGACCACCAATTATTTTATCCGAGCCGGTAAAATAATTTAGCTTTGTAATGAAAAATCTAATTTCCTTACTACATTTTATAGGTTTTGAACGCATCCAAACCCGTCCTGTTTTTATCTGTGGTACACGTTTCATCATAACACTAAAGTAACACTACCATTATGCGGTTACTTTTTTAAATACTAGATTTTATTGTAGATTTTTTATTTATTTTTGTAGTGTATATATTATCAATAATATCATTTTTAGATGGGGATATGGAAAGTATTCCGAAATAAGTTGCAAATTATAGGTTGACAGTAAATATAGAATGCACTAATACTTTGAACGGAACGTATTATGAGTGTCTCTATGCAGTCTGTGGTATTATGACACGTGAGCTGTCAAAGCGTGAGCAAAAGTCAAAGCACCTGTGTCTTAGATACTTAGCAGTGAAAAAATTAGAAAGGTTATTGATTCATTTTTGTTGTTTTCAGCCATCGACTTGACTTATTCAATTAAGTATATATTACTGAATAGTTTTCATATCAATTGATCATAACCTCAAAAGTGACGAAATACATTAGTGTAACGTTCTATGATCCTCGGCTATTAAATAATATTGTGGCGGTTGGAAGGAAAAGGGGAGATCTCCCGCCGGGCACGGTGTTCTGCCCGGGGAGCGGCCAACGCTCCGATTGGTAGTTCGGAGCTATTCTATACAGGGTATTTTTGGAACGCTCCCGAAAACTAAGACAGGCGACAGCACCAAGTATACCTTTGATCATGGGTCACAAATAAATTTGATCCTGATGAAAAAAAAAATCATATTTTTACAACGTTTTATTAGCTTTATTCACGAGCCATCATGTTAGTACAACTAAATGAATCGATAATTTCATAAAAAAAATCATGAAAATACTGAAACATAAAACCAGCAGTGGAAACTGAATTGATATCACCTGACTAATGGAGGTTAATGTACGCGCGAACGGTGAAAAAAGAACGCTGGCCTTGAACTTGGACACTGAGCGATTTATCACATATAGGTACGAAGGGGCGCGACGGGGGAACAATCCGCCAGTATTACTGTGCCTGCATGCTATTGGTTCCCGCGCTTTGTTCGCTCCAAAAATACAGTCGCATACACAGCTTACTTTGCGACTCGCGACGATGTTTTAAAAAGGAAGGAAACAAAAATTATTTATATCTATTGTTTTATGACTAAACTAGTGAACGAAAAGGTAAATATGATAGGAGAAGGTGAATGGGGAAAATTGTGCAGTAAAGTGTTGAGGGAGAATACCGAAAAAATTACCATGTGATCGACCTGATGACGGAAGCTCAAGCGAAGATGAAAGTGATGATGAAGTAGCATCCAGTAACACCAACACACCATCAACATCTGACTTTCATGTGACCCAAGACGTCATAATGGACGGCGTGTCACCCTTAGCTTAAGTTTGTTTGTTACAAACTACTTTATATTTTACGATAGAAATAACAAATAATGCTCAAGTAAACATTATCCATTTTTAATTCCCACCTCTTCCAAAGTTCTAAGTGAATAGTAAAACACCTATTATGATTCTACAATTAAACAATTAATTACTATAATATTATAAAACAACAGCCCAATACCATGTAGTACTTTAGAACGCGACTGTACCCACACTCTCTCCGCTGTCGGCCTGTATCTAGCTCGGTACGAAACAATGCTGCGGTCGTAAGAAAAAAGGGCGCATCTAACAATTTTTGAATAAATGAGTTAAATATACCATGACTCATGATAAGAAGGCGCATTTACTAATTTTTTTTAATATTCACAAATATCAATATTTTAGAAATTATCGTAAGAATTTTAGACGTAACTGTTGATCACAGATGACATCTTTTTATTAGAAAAGACTTATACAAATTCAACATAAAAGAAAAGACTTATTTAACCAGTGGCTACGTCATCTTTAACAATATTTGCATCGATTACTTAAATTTCAATTATTCTTGTCTTTTTATTCTATATCTTATTATTAAGAGCTTATATCTTATTACTAAGAGCTGGTGTTTCACATGTGGTCCCATACAAATTTGATCGAGGTCAGACCAATAGTTTTTGAGTCATCCTTAATTATTTATATTAAAGTCGGTTGTACAAAATTTTTAATTTTTAATTATTATCGTAGTAAGTCTTGTATGATATCCCCTTTAAAATCATTACTCAAGAGTTGCGGGTTGTTATTTTTTGTGTCTGACTAAGCAAAAGCGTCCTTTCAACTTCAAATGACCTTTCCAAAATATGTAAAAATGTTAAATGAATGGCAGTTTTTTTTATTTATTAGGTTGGGAAGACGCAAATAGTTATATGCGTCTTTCCTTCGATGTTTTTGTGTTGCCAGGTGTATTTTTTAATCTAAGATGAAAAGGAAAATTCGTTTTATTTAAATAAATAAACAAATTATCAAAAAAAAAATAAGTTCGTCCTTAAAATCTTCATGTCTCTACGTACATATTTCAATTTTCATATAGATACCTTTTAATATACTTTAGACACGGGGTCTGAAAGAAAAATTCATAAATTTATTTTTTATTTCCATTTTACGTTTTTGTTAGTTGCGTCCTTCTTTATTATGACGGCAGAATGTAACCCGGCCGGCTCGTGTCGCCTCACGCTGTGACGCAGTAGGTTTCAATTTTGTCGGGGTTCGTTATTAATTGTAGTTTTTGAAACAGTTCCGTGTTGATTTTGTACACGCGTGCGCGAGCGACAGCTCAATCGTTTTCTTTATTAAATTGTTAATACTTGTGATTACCTGTTGGTATTATTCTTGTTGTTACGTTTTTTGTTTTAATAATGCTTAACGTGTACGTTTATAGTGATTATGAATACGGCAACATGTTAGGTATCCGAACCTAGGTACACGAAGTATCGCTAAATAAATTGTTAAGACGTCGGGATGGAACAAGTGTGTCATACTGTGCAGTGCACAAAGTGTTGAAGCGTAACCAATGCGCCCATACAAATTGCACAAAGTGCAAGCTTTAGTTTCCGGCGATCACGACCGCCGACGAGTTTTCTGCCGTTGGTTATTATACCAGCAACAACGTGTGCCTGGTTCCATTGAGCACATTATCTGGACGGATGAGTCGACATTTACCAGAAACGGCCTGTGGAACCGAAGAAATACACACGTGTATTCAGAGGTTAACCCGCACGCTGTTCGACAAACCGGGCACCAAACCCGATGGTCGGTTAACGTATGGGCAGGTTTATTTAAGGATCGCATACTGGGACCAGTGTTTCTGCCAGAGCGACTGAACGGACAGCGATACCTAAACTTTATAAATGAACAGTTGGTTGACATTTTAAACGACCTATCGTTGGCTGAATATCGCCGCACATGGTTCCAACATGATGGTGCCCCTCCACATTTCGTGAGGTTCGTCCGTGAGCGCCCAAATATTTGATGATCGCTGGATCGGCAGACTAGGATCACACGCTTGGCCACCTCGCTCACCAGATCTGACTCCGTTAGACTTCTTTTTTTGGGGTATGTGAAAGAAAGGGTTTTTAATCGTGAATGTGATAGTGCTGAAGAAATGCGCCAAAGGATCGTGGATGCTTTCGAGAAACTACGTACGGACTGTGCCGAAGACCACACGATGATGCCCCGCCTGCACCCAAATCTACCTTGAAATGAATGGAGCACAATTTGAGCCGCATCTCATAAGACCACGGAGGATTTAGAGCGGTAAGCTGTTTCATACCTATTTTTTTTTAATAACTTAGTACTAGACTAATCTGAATAGGTACATAACTGAATACATGAGAATAATAAACATACCTACACGATGAATAAAAACTCATGACTCCAACCTTGGTTACATTTCATTTAAGTATTTTTTCATTAGCGGGGAATCGAACCAGTTATTTGGGTTATTTAACCTGTAAATTCGGATTAAAGTGGCTAAGTGGAGACAAGCACAGTGGCAAAATAGTAGGTTAAGTAGATAAGTTAGGTATTTAGACAAGTGTTGTAAATTATTAGATATTGTGGTATGGCCCGCTAGCTGCGGGCCGCGCGAATTTGCGTTCGCGCGTACATTGACCTTTCAGTCAGGTGATATAAATTCAGTCATTCCACTGCTGGTTTTATGTTTCAGTATTTTCATGAAATATTTTATGAAATTATCGTTTCATTTAGCTGTACTAACATGATGGCGCGTGAATAAAGCTAATAAAACGTTGTAAAAAGATGATTTTTTTTTCATCAGGATCGAATTTATTTGTGACCCATGATCAAAGGTGTACTTGGTGTTGTCGCCTGTCTTAGTTTTCGGGAGCGTTCCAAAAATACTCTGTATAATATGCTGCTTTATTTGGGACAATATTATATGGGACTTACTAAGAAACCTAAGTGCCTACCCACTAAACACCACCTGAGGCTGGCTTTGGCCTGGTGGGCCTTTCTGCTGTATCGGAAGCGACCCCCCCTTGGGGAGAGGGGGGCGCAGGGAAAAGGGGGGTGCAGAGAGCTGATCTGTCATCGAATTTATAGTTGTATTGAGTCGCCAAGTAGTGATAGTTAAAAAAAACCCCTCCGTTCTCTAACCCCTCCATTCCGCGAACTTTTTGACCGCCCTCGTACTAACCCTTACTACTAAACTTTATTTAAAAAGTTTTTAATCTTTGCGGAGATCAAACTTTGTATATTTTGTGGGATTTTGTTGTACAAGCGCATATATTGCCCCAATAATTAATTACTGACTGGGTGTAATCGAGTAACTGGCTACTAGCAGACGACAAGGCCATGCAAAACTTACTCCGTGAGCTTAATAGAAGCCAGTTATTTCAATATTACAGACAGACACTTCAATTTTATTTATATGTATATATAGATATTCTTCTAAATATAATATGTATATAAAAAACAATGTGGCATATGTGACCCATGATGTATAAATCTCTGAAGCGTATAGAATAGAATAATTTTTTTATTCAATATCGATCACATGTGTAATTCTAATTGAAAGTAATTTTTTACTTTACCACTGGTTCGAAAAAACTCTTTGTCCTGGGCAGAACCAGCAAGAAACCCAGCGGGACTTTTTTTCAAAGTAAATTTTACATTAATGGTTGTATAAACTATTTACAAATTTTATTTTAGAAACTGTTTGGAAGCGACCACCTCATTCCCAGGGGTTATTATCAACCATATATTATTCATTTATACTACTCAGATTGACGAAAACTTGGGCGTGTCTGTCGAAGAAGGATAAACAGCAGTTCGATAAAATGGCAGAGCTCTTCGGCGAAAAAGACAACTGGATGGCGCTGCGCGAGTACCTTAGAAGCATCGCTTTGCCCTGCATCCCTTATCTCGGTGAGTCATCGCATTCTCTCATCTCATCACTCATCGAACGTGTGGTGTACTAAGTGTCACTGGAGCGCCCTTTGTAATCCTTTTTATTATAGTGTTATAAACAATAAAGTGTTCATAAATAAATAAATAATAATAAAATTAATATAAGAGTAATTTATCATCTTTATATGGAAAAATTATTATAGATTTATATACAGGGTTATATTTCAAAGAGTAAACAAATTTTCAACTTAAGTTTAAATACTATATAAATAATGATATACCGTTATTGCAGTTTTTAAATATATGAGTGAATAAGCCTTCTACTTTTATTTGAAATGATACGAAATTGAATGTGAATTATGGGCAATAACGTGTTTGCTTACCAATCGACTCTTACGAATGTGTGCGTGCGCAGTAAAATCAATTTAAATAATGCATTGCCACGCATTTTGAATTTAAATGACGAAAAGGACAGAATAATTGAGATTTTTTTAGGATAATTTTTTTTTCATCATTTGCCTATATTACTTATTCTGATCCTTCTCTGCAAATTTGACCGGTATGTAAAGCCCTGTATAAGCTGCACCAGTCTGTGTAGGCCCTGTTGATCATAAAACAAACACTTGAGACTCTATAAGAAATAAAGATTTTAACGCCTGTATATGCTTAGAGCTCAACCGAAGAGTGTCCAGTGTTTGTCCTAGGGCAACCCTGTCCACTCTGTTATAAGCTCTTTCTAAGTCCAAAAATCCACAAATATATTAATTATACGTTTATTGTTGTGCTGTCGCGCAAGATTATTAGCCCTCATTGAGCACGTGTTGTGATGATGTAAGAGTATTGGTGTGTGGGTGTGAGTGAGCCCGAGCTTCTGCCTGGGTGCAGGCATTTTCCTGACGGACCTGGTGTACATCGAGCTGGCGCACCCGGCGGGCTCGCCGCAGCGTGCCAACAAGATGGCGGCGGTGCTGCGCGCGCTGCAGCGCTATCAGAGCTCGCACTACAGCATGCCGCCGGTGCCGCACGTCGCGCACTACCTCAACAGCGTGCGCTACATCGAGGAGCTGCAGAAGTTTCTAGAAGATGACCACTACAAGTGAGCTGCCCTAAAACCACATTGTACCCTACTCTTTTGACCAGTATCACAGTCAGTCCTAATAATGTCCTCTAATTTCTTTATTGACTTTCCAAACATCAAAAGCTATCAACTACCAGGCTATGTAGGCCAGACATATTATACTATCGTATACTCTAGACTATATGTTTGTGAAACGCTCCCGAAAACGAAGACAAATGATAGTAACAAAAGACACCTTTGATCATGGGTCACAAATAAATTTAATCCCGACGAAAAAAAACAGCTTTCACAACGTTTTATTAACATTATTCACGCCCTATCATGTTAGATTAGCTAAATGAAAAGATAATTTCATAAAAAAATAATGAAAATACTTAAACATAAAACCAATAGTGGAATTACTGAATTACAATCAGCTGACTAGGGGTCAATGTACGCGTGGACGCCGAACTTTTATAGGTCCCGTCACGTAAAAAGAACGCTGGTCTAGAACATGGGCACTGAGTGCTTTATCGATCAAATTGGTGATACGAAGTGGGCGCGACGGGGAATGCTCGCCACTATTACTGTGCGCGCATGCTATTGGGTCATGCTTTCCGCGCTTTGTTGGCTTCCAAAATACAGTCGCACACACAGCTTACTTTGCACGACTCGCGACGATGGTTTTAAAAAGGAAGGAAAGAAAAATTATTGCATGCCGTAAGCGCCTAAGCGCGTCGGTATGTTCTACTAGGGCCTAAAAATTAAGATTCCAACGTTTTGTCTCATGAAATCGTATCTAGCAATCATATTGTATAAATAAGTGATATAAAAAGCTTATTGAACTTATTAATATATTTTTGAAATCGATTAATTGCTATTTTTAAATAAAAAGGGGTTTTAGTGGCTTATGGTGTGGATTTATCAAAGCCGCAAGGCTTATAAACACGATAACTTTTGAAAATATCAATTGTTCAACTCAATATATTTTTAAAACTCTTCATCTATCATCTCTATTTCTCTTCATTGTGGGAAGCCATTGAATGTAGAAATGGAGAAATTTTCGGTGTATTCGGCAGCCTTGTATGAATAAATTATTACTAAATATAGACTGCGTCACTCAGTTCGGCGTCAATCGCCGTCGTGAGTGGACATTGTTTCCGTTGTTTGCAGCGGCTCAAAAAGATCGCTGTACAAATACACAATATTCGAATAACCAAATTTCTTAAATACTTGATTGTAATAATAATGAGATTTTTTTTATTACAATATTTTAAAAGCAAAGAATAAATAATAGTACCTACGTACTAAAAGTAAGAAGTATCAATTTTTTCGTCATGGGTGTCATTTTCATGGTTTTCGAGGGTGTTGAAGCCGATAGGGTTGTCGAATTGTAAATCCAAGATGGCGGCTGCAATAGGTATCAATTTTTTCATCATGGTTGTCATTTTCATGGTTTTTGAGGGTGCTGATGCCGATAGTGCTGTCGAAATGTAAATCCAAGGTGGCGGCTGCAATAGGTATAATTTTTTTCATCATGGGTGTCATTTTCATGGTTTTCGAGGGTGTTGAAGCCGATAGTGCTGTCGAAATGTAAATCCAAGATGGTGGCTACAATAGATGTCAATTTTTTCATCTTGGGTGTCATTTTCATGGTTTTCGAGGGTGGTTAAGCCGATAGAATAGAATAGAATAGAATATTTTTTTATTCAATATAGATCACATGTGTAATTCTTATTGAAAGTCATTTTTTACTTTACCACTGGTTTGAAAAAAAACCTCTGTCCTGGGAAGAATCAGCAAGAAACCCAGCGGGACTTTTTTTTTAAAGCAAATTTTACAATAATGGTTGTACAAACTATATAAGTACAAAATTTATTTTAGAAACAGCTTGGAAGCGATCACCTCATTCCCAGGGGTTATTATCAACCATGTATTCATTTATACTATAAAAACCCTTTTTATACAGTTTCAACTTAACAAAACATCCGTAAAATTAGTTTTATATTAATGTGTAGTGTTCGCGTAAATATAAGAAATCATTATGTAAAACATTTAAACTTGCTAATAGAGAGAGCCTGTACACTTTCCGGGACCTTGTTGTAATAGCGTATACATTGCCCCAAGAATGAATTACTGACTCTGTCTGTCTGTATAGTCGAGAAACTGGTATCACTAGCTTGTGTTTGTTCCTAGTGTTTACAGAATGCACATCATTTTTTTTTACTAAAACTACCTTTGTTTTTGTGAACATACATTAAATTTTCGTAAATATACTGAGAGGCCAAAGTTAATATATTTATTTCTTTAAATTTATCTCTAAGAGACTCTCCCGGTTTTAGGTTGTAAATAGCTCTAATGGCCCTCTTAGTGTATAGTGATAGTGCTGTCGAAATGTAAATCCAAGATGGCGGCTGCAATAGATATCAATTTTTTCATCTTGGGTGTCATTTTCATGGTTTTCGAGGGTGTTGAAGCCGATAGTGCTGTCGAAATGTAAATCCAAGATGGCGGCTGCAATAGGTATCAATTTTTTCTTCATGGGTGTTATTTTCATGGGTTTCGAGGGTGTTGAAGCCGATAGTGCTGTCGAAATGTAAATCCAAGATGACGGGTGAATTAGATATCAATTTTTTCATCATGGGTGTCATTTTCATGGGTCTCGAGGGTGTTGAAGCCGATAGTGCTGTCGAAATGTAAATCCAAGATGGCGGGTGAATTAGATATCAATTTTTTCATCATGGGTGTAATTTATCGAGGGTGTTGAAGCCGATATTGCTGTCGAAATGTATTTAAACTACTTTGAAAAATTCCGTATAATCATGTTATACGTATTTTTTTAATGCGCTTAGGGCATGTCCAATTGGATTTACCAGTTTATTTATATCTATTGTTTTTTGACTGAACTAGTGAACGAAAAGGTAAATAGAAGTTGAACGGTGAAAATTGTGCAGTTAAGTTAAAAGTATTGAGGAAGAATACCGAAAAAATTACCATGTGGGCGACCTGATGACGGAAACATTTATCATTCGTATTGATGATGATGCTTCTAATGACGGAAGCTCAAGCGAAGATGAAAGTGATGATGAAATAGCATTCATTAACACCAACACACCATCGACACCTGGCTTCCATGTTCCATGTTCCAACAGTATAATGGCCGGCGTTTCACCCTTAGCTTAAGTTTTATTGTTACAAACTACTTTATATTTTACGATAGAAATAAAAAATAATGCTCAAGTAAACATTATCCATTTTTAATTCCAACCTCTTCTAAAGTTCTAAGTAGTTACTAAAGTACCGATTATGATTCTACAATAAAACACTATTATATTATAAAACAATAGCCAAAAACCATGTAGTACTTTAGAACGTGACTGTACCCATACGCAGACATACTCCCTCCACTGTTGACCTGTATCTAGGTCGGTGCGAAACAATGCCTAGCCTATTCACTCTATTCTTCCTTTTCACACACGCGCCACTGCAGCTCGGCCGGCTCGTGTCACCTCGCGCTGTGGAATTTACACATGTCAGCTTTGACAACATGTGGGGAATTCCCAAAATTGCGGGGAATTTAAAGTTGGTTGGGGATTGGTATTATGCGGGGAAAATACGGAGATTTTGAAAATCGATAGTCAGAACTTTTTTCAAGAAATCTAAATACTTATCTTAACATTTTGTTAGGTTACTTATGAATATCGAATGACTCACTTAATGCTTTTCATTTCTTTATTTTTTAATTTTAAAGAAAAGAAAATTGTTAGTTAAAAAATAAAACCTTATAAAATTAATTGAAAATTGATTCATGTCTTAAAATAAAAATTGAAGGGTATTTGTGGGAAATCTGTTAAAGTTTTGTCCTTAAATTGGGGAATTTGACATGAATTTTCGAGGAATCGACAAATTGGTGTTGGTAACGCTGCCATGTTGCACCGAAATTTAGTTTGCCGGCGACATCAGACTTAGAGGCGGCAGTCACTATAAAACTTGCAGTAATTTTTAATAATTTTGACGTACCTCTTTTTAAATTCATAATATTGGTCGGATTGAATACGGAAAGTCAATTAAAATAAAGTAAAAGTATTATTTTTTACATTAATTCTGACAGATTAATTAACAGTCGATCATAATTGCAGTTGATTTTAACTATTAAATTATTCAGTACCATTTCATTTCTATTTTTATACAAAATCAATATATGATGAAGTAGAAGTAAGTATTAGGTACGTTTATTAATTTCAATATAATTTTTGTAGTAAAGAAATGCTTGTTGCGTGAGGGTATATTTGATCGTGTAATTTTATTAAAAATGACAACCATAACTTCTAAATTCCATAGGAAGATTAGTCGTAGGGATAATTAAACTTATAAATAAAATAAACGTTGGCAATGTCGTAACGATTTAATGATCTGTGGAATTGACCAGTGTTTCAAGGACTTTACGGCGCACGAGGCATTTGTTTTGGCGGAATTGATTAATAATTTTAGTTTTTGAGACTGTTACGTGCGCGTGAGCGACAGTTCAATCGTTTTCTTTATTACATTCTTGTTGGTACATTTTTTTCCTTGTTTTGTTTTAATACTGCCTAACGCGTAGGTACGTTTATAGTGCACGTGAATACAGCAACATGTTAATGTGCTTTGGAGAATCTCATAAGATTTAGATCGGTAAGCTGTTTCATATCTAATTTTGTTTTAAATAACTTAGTACTGAACTCATCTGAATAGGTACATAACTGAATATATCTGAATAATAGAAATATCTCCACAAAAAACATGACTCTAACCTTGTTAACATTTCATTTAAGTATTTTTTTATTAGCGGGGATTAGAACCAAGTATTTGGTTTATTTAACCTGTGAATAAAGTGGCTAAGTGGAGACAAGCACAGTGGCCAAATAGTAGATTAAGTAGATAAGTATTTAGACAAGTGTTTTTTACAAATTATTAGGTATTGTGGTACCATCTTTAGGTGCGGGCGGCGTGAATTCAGCGTCCACGCGTACATTGACCTCTAGTCAGCTGATTGTAATTCAGTAATTCCACTGCTGGTTTTATGTTTAAGTATTTTCATGCTTTTTTTTATGAAATTATCGTTTCATTTAGCTGTAATAACATGATGGAGCATGAAAAGATGTTTTTTTTTATTCGGGATCAAATTTGTGACCTATGATCAAATGTGTCCTTGTTACTATCATCTGTCACAAACACCCGGTATAGCGGGTGTGTAAATAAAAAACTGCGGTCGCCAACCGGCTTACCAAGGGTGGCAACTATAGTAGGCCGGCCTATATTCAGCAGTGAACATTAGTAGGCTGTAACGGTAACGGATCCTAATCAAGTTATTAAATATCAAGTTAATCGGCCGTCTACAAAGGGGTAAAAATTACATTAAAATATTACGTTACTCGTACATAGTTAGATACAAGAAGCTAATAAAAACGTGTTAAAACGGTTATTTCAGATTATCGTTAAAACTAGAGCCACCGTCTCCAGTGGGCAGTTGCGCTGGATCGAAAGAATCCGTGAAGGAAGTGGTTCCGCAGGGTACTTCCACTCCCTTCATGTTGTCCCCATCGCACCGGCTTGGCTCTGGCTCTTTGAGGCTGCAAGGATCTTACCAGGCCAAGTTCATACCGACGCATAGAAAGTGCCGCTCGCTGGGATCCAAGTATGTAGAAGCACATCATCATATAAAAAATTGTACAATTTTTTAAATTTTACTTATAAGCCAGTCCTTTACCACAATCCGCCTGGTGGTGAGTGCCGATGAAGTCTTAAATGATAAATCGCACTGTCTTAGCACAAGCCTACTTGTTAGCAAAATCCTGTTCACTCTCACCACACGAGTAAAGAAACTGTATACAGGCAAAGCTTCTAAGGAGCTGTCAAATGTTTACCTATTTTGTTAGGGTTGGCACAGAAGGACAAAATTAAATAAAGAAAACTTATCAGCTTCATAATAGATATACTTAAGATATAATATTTTTTTTACAAACTACGTATTCTAAATATTTTACTTCTATAAATTTTGTTCTTCAACAATTTGTTGTGGCTTTTTTTTAAATAATCTATTGGAAAGCACTCACATTGATTACCAAATATACAATCTTGCACACGTTTTAATATTTTACTACCAACATATACTATGTTTGTTTCGAGTTCAAAATATTCGCGAAATTTTTGCTCATGCAATTCAACAAATGCGATAAAATCGTCAGGAAGTATTATTGAAAACCCCGATAGAACTATCTTCATTAAAATCCTTGTAATGACTTAAAAAAAATCCTTTCCCATATTTACAGGTTGTTCAGATCTATTAACGTACAAATATATTTTCTGGTATTTGTGGTGTTCGAGACAACATTTTCTATCAGATATCCCGATACAGACTAAGCCATTCTTTTCTGGTAAATCAAATTTGTTCCTACTGTTAACACAGCTGCAGTAACATCGTCAGGTTGCTGTGATGGTGTATTAAAAATAAAAGACAATCGTCTGCTTTTATAAGTAACATATCGAAATCTTACTTAAAAAGAATTGATCTTTCCTTAAGATATTGGTTATGAACATCTTATTGAAGGCAATACTAACTACACGACACGTTGGTTCCTGGCAGTCACCACCCGCCTGTCTGACTTTGCCAAAGAAATTTTCGAGACAATCTTGATTGAGACGTCTCGTAAATATAAATTAATTCATTTTCTTCTAATTTTAAACCTTCATGAAGTTTTATTAAAATTTTATAGACATTTGAAACCCATTAATGAAATTCATGCTATTTCTAACGTCTTTCCACTTCACTCTTATTAATTTTAAGTTCCTGAAAAATGTTAGCATTTCTTCTAAAAACTCAATTTGATACTATCGCATCGAAAAGCTGTTTTATAATTATTAGGATATCGCAGTGTATTTGAGCTTAATAAATCAAATAACTTATTAACTTTATTAACAAAATTAAGCAAGCTCGATAAGATTTAAATCTAGGTAGGTATTAGTAAACCATATTTACTTACTTACTTATCTTCACGCACAATCCCTGACGGGGTAGCCAGAGAGAACAGATCGCCAAGTGTCACGATCCTTACATATCTCTTTCGCTTCTTTCAGATTCATTATCTTCTTCATACATGCACGTCTAGGTATCCGAGTACTCTTGACCCTACCCTCTTCGAGCAATTTGCTCACATGGTCTTCGAAAGTTAGTCTCGGTCTACCTCGACACCTTTTAATATTAACTTTCGCGCTATATATTTTCTTCACCATTCGGTCTTCACTCATTCGCTCAACGTGCCCAAACCACCGAAGCACGCCCTTATCAATTTTTGTGATAAGGTCATCTTTCAAACCTGCCATATTGCGAATCTCTTCGTTTCGCTTTCGGTCGGCCATAGTAACGCCGCACATTTTACGAAGAGATCGCATCTCCACTGCATTCAACTTACTTTTATGCTTCTTCTGGCATACCCAGGTTTCGCTGCCATATAACAAAGTCGGTACCAACACTGCGTTATGTATTGCAAGGCGTGCACTCTTCGCTACGCCTTGCCTTTTGACTAACGCAGTCAGGGCACCATTGACTTATTTATATTTACTTAACCATATTTACACTTTTTTATATTTCATTTGATACGAATTCTTCTTTAAAAGGCACATTTTGGCACATTATTTTTACGTAACCCTGAGTTTGAGCACTGGCCGAGCCGGTTTAAAGCAGTTTCTCTCTGTACGTGACGAGCAGTCAGTGCTCACGCACACACGCGCCTCAACCTTGTAGTAGTATAACTAGCATATCGCGCCTGTATGAAGCTTTGCCTCTGTACGGTATGGTTTCTTAACTCATGTGCTCTCGTCTTAAAACCGCCCACATTGTATTACAAAACTGTTGTAAAGTTATATATGTCTTAAAAAAATATAATCCTGCTTTTTTTCTTGCTGGTTCTTCCCAAGACAGAGGTTTTTTCCGAACCAGTGGTAAATAAAAATAATCATTTTCAATAAGTATTATTGAAAATGAACTCTGTCATCGGCTTGATCGGTGTAGACTGTCTAAAAGACATAAGAGCTCTAATGTAAGAGCATAACTGAGGTTGCAAGGAAACAAACATAATTTTCTTTCACTTATTTCATTTTCCAGAATTGACGTTTATTGCAGTATTGTAGAAGTTCAACATAACGAAGTTATCATGAGTAACATTAATAAAAATATTTGTAAAAGTCTATATTGAATTAAAAATATTCCATTCTATTCTATTACTGCTGTTCAGCTCGGTTTTAAACGAAATAAATGTCAATCAAATTAGATGTTGTACAAATTAAATTATAGTAATGCCTCCTATGGAATGTACTTCAGATTTAGGCTTCGAATTTGAAGACGTGTACATCGTTGCAAATTATAAAGCTGCACAAAAAGTAAAGTTACTCGTATATGCCTCACTGTTGGGTATTCCGGTTATTACTGAACAGGCTATGCGTGTTGCCTTCAGGCGGATTCAGTTATACTTTGTGTTATTTTATTTTATCGCCTCTATATACATATAACATGGTGAATCAGCACTTCCAATCTCAATGAACAATTTCATTGGTGTCGGTGGGAATCGAACCTAGGTTGCTTGTGTATTTTGGGATTTTTCCTAAGCGCTTAGCACTAGAACTATTCATCAATGCTCTATTAAGTTACTTTGATAAAAAAAAATAAAAAAAAATTTTATTTTCTTTTTTTATCAAATCATTTAAGGGGCATATTTACCGTGCCAGCCCCCCCCCCCCCCTCCCCCCGCTCTAGCAGTATACATAGAAGTGTTTGCGTAAAATATTAACATGATACTTAGTACATACATAAAACATACATAGTGATGATTCTCTTTCCCGCTGTGATGCACTTCCATATTATAACAGTCATTGAAGTTTTTACTCAAAATTAGCTATGAAGCACTTCTTTCTTGGGTTTCAAAATGTGCTTCACCATCAAACATTTTATTGTAGTGCAATCTCTTGAGTAGAATGTTCATCATTCATTTATTTACTTAAGACAAAGGTCGCCTGCTATGTACATTCTTCACGCCTCCTCGGTGCTCATATGACCACGGGGAATTATTGTGAAACGGCTCGGGGATGAAATGGCTCCATGGTTTAATGTCTTGAGCTTGTATATTTTATAAAAAAATGGCGCTGTATCTTGGCGCTGCATAGTTTTCAATGTGACACGTTCCATTGTTATTGTTTACAATTTGACGTTAAATTTGAATGCAATGGATACACGTGTATAGTTTTATTTTGAATAAATTTATTTCAATATTTGTTGTTTGTGTGTTGCCTGTATTTCAAAAATGTTGTTTATTTTAACATGTGTCCTTTGTTCGATTTAGTTTGGTTATCACTTGCAATATGTTTTGTCTAGAGATATAGTCGTATAAACGAACCTCGTGTGGTATGTAGGACATTGTAACACTTACAAATGCACATTTGTTTAATTTAATTTACTATTCTCTTAGACTAATATTTCTATAAAGTAGTCGTACACAATTATTTTTGTTTGCGAGTTTGTGACGCTGTTGAAGAGAAGAGGTTGTTTTTATGCGGTATTTAAAATAGATTAAATGGCAACTGTAGTCTAAACCATGTGTGATAATTTTTAATTGGAAAATTGTGGAAAGAAAGTATCTATTAACTCTTTCCATAATTAATACATTTTGTTCTTTGTTGAATAATGTGACGTTTAAGTTAAAGAGGCTCCGCGACGTACTGACTTACCAATGAGTTGCAGCGCTAAAAGCCGGGGGTTCGAATCCCGCACGGAACAAGTGTTTGTATGGCCTACAAATAATTGTTCCGGGTTTGGATGTTTGTCCATGTGCAATTTGTGTTTGTAAACTGCTTCCACGACACAGGAGAAAATAGTGTGGGGTTAACGTATTTTTTAAAAAAGGAAGAAAAGACAAATGGGATATTGTAATCATCATTACAGGTTTCTTGTTGGTAAAAGCAATCTCTGTTCTAACGACTCGTCCTCGAGACATAATCAATATTTTATTTTACGTGTACTCAATATGCAAATTATACATGAAGCTGTTTTTGCCGGCGTTCGGTATTTAGGTTTCGTAGCGCGAGTTTGCCAAGAAATTTTCACAAGGTCAATTTCGGTGTGGGGTGAGTCCATTTGTTATGAGATTGATTCGACGGCTTGCATTGGATGTTATGTAGACAAGAATTGAGTAACGCAAGTGATTACGTACTTATTGTATCTTAGCACACGCATGCGGCAATACGTGATAGTGAGAACGCATCTGAGATAGTGGCTACTTGCGTACTGTACTGTACTGTACCTGTACCTGTTAGCGGACAGCAAAATAAACGCAGATTGTAAATTGCGACGCGCACGCACTCTGCTCCTGCACACTGTTTTTCCTATAATAAACATTTTGTAAACACCAATTACTTTTTAGAATTTGTATTCCTCCCTCTCCCCTATCGTTGCTTTATAATTAGTGCTATAATTGGCTTGAAGCTTCAAAATTTTGTATTAAATTTTTATATAAATATTTAAGCGTTTACTTTGGTGTCTTCGCTAACTTACTATGTGCATAAATAAAAGTTTACAAATATCGCATGTATATATTAATATAAACAGTATAGGAATGTACTTGTTTTTATACGCGGTAGAGCCACGCTGCAGAGCTAGCTAGCTATATCAGCTATATCATAGCTGCAGCATGAATAGATTAGCTCGACCGGGGAAGGGACACGCTCTCATAGAATACCAGCGTAAACTAGCAGCTTAATGCTACTGTGTTTCGTATGGCAGAGCACCGGGACCCCTTTTTATTGGAGACGAGGCATTCCATCGCAGTCCTCAGAGGTCACAACGCATCTGAATTTTGATTCTTAATCGAGAATAAATGTAGACGCCTATGAGCCACAACTTACCATCAGGACTGTATGCTCGTTTGTCACCCTTATTCTATAAAAAACAAGATGGTTCTCGTTATTAATTATCCAGTGGTTTATTTCGGGTTTTTCCAAAGACAGTTTAAAACGTTATAGTTATTCTATTTACGGGAGCGCTCCCGAGGCCTACGCACACTAACACAATGTGTATGTGCACGGCCAACAACAACCAAAGTCAAAACTTCATCGTGAGGTACAATAACTATACATTGAGAGAACATTTTTATTTTCGGGTCCCATAAATATTGTTAAAAATTTAAATCTAAATCAAAGTGAATATAATTTTTGCAGTATAAGTGCGCGACTAGGAGATGGTGACAGAAAATATTCTCCCATTCTCTCCTGCATGCCTTTTTAAGAATTGATAACTAACCCTAAAATATAAAAGATAGAGGGGTTACGAGCCCTTGCGCGCTTGCACGTCATAAAGAAAATGGCTTCTCTTTGTGTAAAGAATTTTAGTATTTTTCCGTGACATTATATTGCATGCCTTTGAATGTAACGTAGTTGGAACAAATTTAAGCTATAATAATTGATGGCATGCAATTCGCAAAGGCCGACGGGGCTCAAAGGGTTACGTAGAAATGAAAAAAAAAATAGAACATTTCCGTGCTTACAAATTGCATGCCGTTGTAAAAAATTAGTTTTTTTTTTATCTCAAAAACACTACGAAAATTGGCATGCACCCCTCGTATGACCAAGGGTGGAAAATATTAGGAAAATGTTGTGAAAATTCAATACAATTTTCCGTGATTTCAAACTGCATGCCATTTGAGCAATACTTAATTTTTATAATTTATTGACGTTAGCAAATTTGGCATGCACAACAGGAAGTTGTAAAGTAGGGGCATGCATGACGAAAATTGCAAAAAACGCTGTTATATTTCATTAAAAAACATTAAGTTGATAAAAAAATGGCATGCATATTACACAAGCCTGACATAAAAAACTTGTGCAAAATAAAATCAAAAAAAGTTTTTTAACGAAAATAAAATAAGGAACATTTCCCTGTTTTTTTTTTTGCATGCCTTTTTGTACATTGCCTGTAAATATTATTTTAAACTTCAATAACAAATGGCATGCATGTTTATTGATAAAAAATTACTTGACTAAAAAAAAACCGTTGCCAATACACTGGTACGTGGCTATTGGTTCTTGTTTCTATTATTAAGTACTCTGGTTTACTTTATTAAATAACTGAAATATATTATAACGAAAATGTTTTCTTTGAAAAATTTATATTGCAATATACGTGAAAAAGATACATTTTTATGTATGCAATTTTTATTATTTTATAATATGCACATTTCGAAATTTTGTTCCTAAATAATATATATTTTAAAATCATAAGTTTTCTCAACTTTACAATTTCGTATACTTTAAATTCAAAATATATTTTTTTTAAATTTATACGTTTTTAATAATTTTGATTTCTAAATATTACAATTCAGCATATTTCAATTTCTATTTTTTTTCATTCGTAATTTTTTTTATCAAAAATTTTTCGCCCAATCAAGAATGCAGATACTATTGAAAGCAGATACTATTGAAAGCAGATTTTATTAATTTATAGACTCGGAACAACAATTCTTTTACAATATTTCCCAAGTAAATTTTTTTATACAGCCCGTATACAACTGCCTTTATACAATTTTCGTTGTATAAAGTCTCTATAAAATCAAATAATTTTTTATTTAGTTGCTTAGACAACAATGGTCAGCAAGCGCCGTCGTTTAGGCAACTAAATAAAAAATTCTTCAATTTTTTTTAGACTTAATACGACTAAAATTGTATAAAGACAGTTGTATACAGGCTGTATAAATGTTTTCCACTTGGGTTATTTCATTATCAAATTATAACAAATTAACCAAAGACTTACACTTTGCTTCCCGAAGGTTTGTTTAAATCAACTTTAAATTGGGCTTTCAAAGCATTAAAATTGTTTCGACATTTTGAATGATACCCAATACCCGATACTGTCATCGATTTCCTTGGGCAGTTCTATATCACTATATTTTAGCGAATGCCTTTTTCTCTGCTCTAAAATCGCTATAGAAGATGCTATGGTATCGGCAGTAAAAGAAATAATTGGAGCTGTAATAGCAAAATCCAAAAAACATTTTTTTTAACAGTTTCATTAAAATAAAAATAAGAATAAAAGAAGTTGTGTTAGTTTATAAAAAAAATACTTTTTGATGCAGTGTGCGTGCGTAAAATGCGTTTTCGAACTTAATTTAAACATTAATAATAATTAAATAATATCTGAAATCTAACAAGAATAAATTTTATTATGACATTTTTCTCAGTGTGGTTATTAATTTATCATTTTTGAAAATTTTTTGAGTGAATGTTAGGATATTTTAAACAATTATAAATTAACTATAATTATTTTTATACAGCAGAAGTAATTTAAGCATTTAAAAAGAATTTCTTTGTAACATATGTGATGTTTAAGATTTATTGTAAACGAATTCTATAATAATACTGTGATAATTATTCTACAAGACTAAAAAAAATGATTAAAATAAATTTCAAAAAATAGAACTCTTTTAGAATATATAAAAGAAACTGCTATTTAAGTTATTAAAAAGAACTCTTTAATTTCTACTTAAAAAATAAAAATTAGAAAAGAATTTCTTTATAACTCTTATAGCAATACGTGTGCTTGTTGGGTAATATATATATTTAAAAACTGCCGAGAGTAGTGTAGGTAGATTTGACATTTAAGTTTTAGATTTACTCGCTTCAATTAAAAAAAATTAATTTCTTGAGTAACAATTGCTTGACTGGCACATACACACATGCACACTTTTTATTTTAAATTCAATGTTTACATATGTTTGAAATCTGTAACGTACTTTGTATATAAACACACGCACTACATATCGACATAACCGTTAGAGAAACAGACGTATTAAACGGTTTTATCTTGCAAATAAAGTATATTTATGTATATATACTTCTGTATACACGTGTAGCTAAAACAACTAGCTAAAACGTCGGTTAATTCTATGTAACTTTATAAATATTCTTATACTTACTAATACTGCTTTGATTAAATACAAAATATACGATGTCACAGCACTTGTACAGTAGTAACGAATGGACAGCTTTGTTATGTATTATTAGATCTCTTTGAAACTTGTAATATATAATATATTATATAGAATATTATGAATTTTTGTTACTCGGCGGTTATATGCTTTCAACAGCGTATCTACATGTACACTGAGGCCAAGAGGAAAGAATAAAAGTGTAGCGTCTACTTTGGGCTGGAAGCGACCCCTTGTGTCATTTCGCAAAGGCGGCATTTCGATCATAGAGCCCGAGAATTACAAATTATTTCAGTTGAGAAATTGTCATTTTCAATTTTTTATAACATTTTTTTTCTGTTGAACTAAAGATGTAAATACGCATGCTATTTTCGTCATAAACTTAAAATAATATTTTTATATAAAATACAAAATTGCATGTAAATTAAAAAGACGGAGATGTTTCACATATTTTATGAAACTTTCATTATTATTAAAAATACGATGGTGTTATTTAATACGCGTGCCATTTTCGGTATATACTTAAAATAATGTTTTTATGAAATACAAAACGGCATGCAAATAAAAAACGCGGAAATGTTTATTAAATTTTTTGCAACTTTTGTTATTATTTATAATATAATGATCATGTGCAACATGCATGTCATTTGTATTTCAGAATTATTTGGTCATAAAATTAATATTTATCTTTAGTAAAAGTAGTTTAAAATCACGGAATAGTTGTATTGAATTTTTACAACATTTTCCTAATATTTTCCACCCTTGGTCATACGAGGGGTGCATGCCAATTTTCGTAGAGTATTTTTGAGATAAATAAAACTAATTTTTTACAACGGCATGCAATTTGTAAACACGGAAATGTTCTATTTTTTTTTCATTTCTACGTAACCCTTTGAGCCCCGTCGGCCTTTGCGAATTGAATGCCATCAATTATTAAAGCTTAAATTTGTTCCAACTACGTTACATTCAAAGGCATGCAATATAATGTCACGGAAAAATACTAAAATTCTTTACACAAAGAGAAGCCATTTTCTTTATGACGTGCAAGCGCGTATGGGCTCGTAACCCTTTATTTACTATCTTTCATATTTTAGGGTTAGTTATCAAATCTTAAAAAGGCATGCAGGAGAAAATGGGAGAATATTTTCG